TGAGGTTAGTGAGTTCTAGGATGAAGTCGGCAACAGCTTGTCCCTTAGTTGCTGTCTGAGGCCGGTAACTGACTGAGTTCGACCGACGATTGCATAAGCCTGCCGGAAAGCTCTGGTTGTTGCATTATCTTCTTCAATGGTTGGTCAGTGAGGACCACTATGGAATGGGCTTGGAAGTAAGGGCAGAGTCTTCTGGAGGCAGTGACCAAGGCCAAAGACATTTTTTTTCTAACAATGGGTAGTTCTGTTCCATCCCTGAAGAGCCCGACTGATGTAGTAGACCGGTTGCTGGACAGAGCTGTCTTCCCTAACGAGTGTTGCACTGACTGCAGTGTGTGTCACGGCTAGATAGAGGAAGAGGGGTTCACCCGTGATGGCTTGAGAAAGTAGGGGGGGTTAGCCATGCACTGTTTCAACTGTTGAAAGGCCTCTTCAGATTCTGCCGTCCATTCAAAAGCTTGCCGAAGGACTTTGAAGAAGATGAGGCACTTATCCGTTGCTCGGGAAATGAAGCGGTTGAGGGCGGCCACTCCGCCAGTAAGTCTCTGAACCTCCTTGACCATTCTGGGTGACTGCATTTCGATTAAGGCCTTGATCTTTTCGAGGTTTGCCTCGATGCCCCGTTGACTGACCATGAATCCCAAAAACTTCCCAAATCCTACGCCGAAGGCATATTTTTCCGGATTGAGCTTCATCTGGTACTTTCGTAGGGTGGTGAAGGTTTCTCGTAGGTCGACCAGATGATCAGTGGAGAGCTTGCTCTTGACCAGCATGTCATTGACATATACTTCCATGTTCCGGCCTATCTGATAATGAAAGACGGCATCGACCAACCGTTGGTAAGTGGCCCCGGCATTCTTCAACCCAAATGGCATCACACGGTAATGGTAGGTGCCTCGGTCGGTGATGAATGAGGTGTGCTCCTGGTTAGATGGGTACATCAAGATTTGGTTGCATCCAGAAAAGGCATCCATGAAACTGAGCATTTGATGACCGGCCGTGGCGTCAACCAGCAGATTTATGCGAGGGAGAGGGTAGCTGTCCTTGGGGCAAGCTCGGTTGAGATCGGAGTAGTCGACACAGAGTCGCCATTTACCATTGTTTTTACGAACCAGAACCATACTCGACAGCCATCTTGGGTAGTCCACATTAGTGATAAACTGTGTCTCAAGGAGTTTGTCTACTTCAAAAGCAATAAGGTTATTGCGTTCCGAGTGAAAAATGCGCTGCTTTTGGCGGATAAGTCGGAAATGGGGCTCAACATTGAGACGGTGGCTAATGAAGGAGGGATCAATACCCGGCATATCGGAGTGAGTCCAGGAAAACACGTCGTTATGTTTAACCAGGAGGGCAGTGAGGTCGGCCTTGGCTTGGGGGGATAGTTGGCTGCCGATCTTGGCGGTTTTGGCCGGGTTAGTGGGGTCGACGAGGACTTCGATGAGCTCCTCCACTGGTTCCGCTCTGACCAGCTCGTCTTCATCTCTGACATCAAGTCCTTCAATGATCATAGCCTCCTTCAGCTTGACTTCTTTAAGTGAGGCGACATAACATTCTCTGGTCACGGTCTGCTCTCCCCTCACTGTTCCGACCTCGAGATCGGTGAGGAATTTGATGGCAAGGTGGTAAGTGGATGTGAATGCTTGGAAAGCATTTAGGGCAGTGCGGCCAAGGATGATGTTGTAGGCAGAGGGCCAGTCAACAACAAGGAAGGTGAGCAACTTTGTGGTCTGTCGCGGGTACTCGCCAATTGTGATAGGAAGATCGATGGAGCTGATGGAGGTCACCCGGTCGCCAGTGAAACTGACCAAAGGCGTTTGGAGGGGAGACAGACTTTCTTCCCCAATCTTGAGCTGGCGGAAGCAATTGAGGAAGATGATATCTGAAGAACTGTCGTTGTCGACGAGAAACCGTCTGACCTTGTAATTGGAAAGGAGGGCGGAAATGACGAGAGGGTCGTCATAAGGATAACGGATGCCTGTGCAGTCGGCGTCCGTAAAGGTGATAGGCTCGGTCCACCGACTGGGATGTTTGGAGGGTCGGTCCAATGTGGCAACTTCTTTGTCTAAGCCCTGCCTTATTTTCCTGAATTCTGCCCGCTGAGCCGACCGGAATGGTCCTCCACAAGCAAGCCCGCCGGAGATAACTCTGGTTTCTCTAACAGGTGGGGCGGGGTTACTTTGTGCGTGAGGTTGCTGTGGAGGGCGATCATGACCTTGGTTAGGCTGTGCTGGCTGTCGGGGAGGGGTGCGCCGGTGGTTATTTCTGATGGGTTCAGTCCGCTGCCTCTGCTGAAGGCGAGTATCCGTGAATCGGTTGAGGCGTCCTTGACGAATCAGGCCCTCGACTTGATCTTTGAGGTTAACACACTCCTTGGTATTATGGCCGTGATCCTGGTGAAAACGGTAATATTTGGACTCGCGGCAATGCCGTTTATTATACGGTACGAATTAGTGAAAAGTTGGGTAGGGCAGAGTTTGGTTTGCCTAAGGAATTCACAGAGAAGGGGCTATACGGGGAAACGTAGACCGCACTCTACGATTGAAATAACATTAAAAGGGACAAAGCCTTGCTTTCCCCAAGGGATGGTGTCTAGCTCGGCCAGTGAAAGGTGGACATCATCTGGGATTTGGTAGTCCTTGCGAAATTCAGCCATTACGCCAGGAGAGTCAACTAAAAACCTATACTTTTCCATTTGTGGTTTGTTATGAATAAATTATATGTGGGTGTTAGCTCGGTGAAAAAATGATTCTGAGTAGCTCGGTTGAGCGCTCAAGGGAATGTCTGGGCAACCTAAGTCTGCAAGGTAAAAAACGAGGGTGTTACGCACATATCGTGGGACCGTGCTAAGAAGAAATAACGACAAGATAAATGTAGTCCTAGCTCGGCTATGCGGAATGCTCCATGTCTTAGCTCGATTTGAGCAAGGGGTCTGTTAGCTCGGTTTTAGCAAGGGATTTGTTAGTCCGGTTGAGCATCTAGGGGCAACATACTTAGTTCGGTCTGAACTAAGAAGGCTGGTTTAGCCCCAAGTTATAGCTCGGTCGCGGTTGAGACTAACAGATGCACTATTACGCAGACTTAGTGCAGATTGCTAGCTCGGCTGAGTTAAAGCAAAAGGTGGTTTGACTTGTTAAAACTAATGGTATAACGTGAAGTGTTAGTTCGGTTGAATGGTCTGGCTAGAATGACATCAACTACAAACGACTTTTTAGTTCGGTTATACTATGATTTTGGATCAAAATCAGTGTTTTTCAGTTTATTCGTAAAAAGCCAGAGGTTCTATTACACGAAAGAAAGGTATGTGTTTTGAAAAAACACACAAAATACATGTATTGTAAAAGCAAATGCAAAAACAACAAAAACAAGGCAGATTTGAGTAAACTTACCAGGTCCAGAGGAAGAAATCAGAGATGGAAGCAACGGCAATGAAGAACACGAACTCAGCAAGTTCAGGGTTGAAGAAGTTCAGAAACGAAAGAGAGAGATGAGGAAATGAATAGTGTGGTGAGTGATTCAAAAAAACAAAGAGTTTTGTTTTGATGGAAGGACCAGAGGCGGGAACTGTTCAAAATTCACGGAGTACGAAGACGGCGTGATAGCTGCATTGGGCCAATCAGAGGGGGCCACGTGTCATAGGAATGAGAAGCGATTCAGTTACTGTGATTGAAGAGACGTTTTGACCGGATAGGTACAGCCCGGTGTGAATTTAGCTCGGCTGAAAAGGTTAAAATGGTTTTTAGCCCGGTTGGAAAGGCTAAAAGGGTTTTTTACCCGGCTAGAAAGGCTAAATGGTTTTAGTTCGGTTGGAATTCTGAAATTTTTTAGCTCAACTGGTAACAGGTAATCCCTATCATGCTATGCAGATGGAATTAAGGGGCAATTGAGAGGGTAATTTATACTTATAAATTGGGCCGAGCTGGGTAATGGGCCGTTATGGGCCACATTGAGAAGGGCTGAGTAGAAAGGCCATGAAGTTACTCCGGCCCAAGAGAGGTGTAAAGTTACTCCGATCCGCAGGAGGTGTAAAGTTACTCCGGTCCGCGAGAGACCTGAAGTTACTCCAGTCCCAAAGAGCTTATGGTAAGTTTGGTCATCACTCATAAAGTTATCCTGGTTTGAACCGGAGTATTGGTTATTCCGGTCTAGACATACCGTGGTTAGCATTAAAAAGAGCCAAGGTAAGAGCAGTGAATGGAAGAGTCGAGCTAATTTTATCTCGGTCTAGTCTGCGGCTTAGCATAGCCATGCTTACCTCGGTCATGTTGAAGTCTGACCATGGTAGAACCATCTCACTTGGTTTATGCAGTGGGGGGGTGTTGAAGGATATGCATTATCTTTCAGGAGTATGAATCCTAGGAGGACTCTACATAGAAGAGTGAAAGTCCTACTAGGATTGTGCCACGCGGAACCTATAAAAGCTTACAACATCACCTATGGAGAGGTAACACACAACTTTGATACACAGAGCTTTTTGTCTTTGTCTATTTTGCTGACTTAGGCATCGAAGAGGTATCCGATACACACCCGCCGGCTAGCTCACGTTTGTATTTTCAGGGAGTAAAGCGACGATGTTTGGAGGAGCGCAGACTTAATCAACAGGATTATACGAGAAGGTTTATTTCTTTTCCGTACAAATATTTAAATTGACAAAATTAAAAATTAAGAATTTATTTTGTTATAATAATCAAACCCGGTTTTTTTCTTTTTCAATTAAATAAAGGGACAATCTCAATAAACAAAAGGTATAAACTTAAAATAATTGCAAAGAGGTGGAAGTACAAGACTTAATTGCACAATCTAATGCATAAATTGTTTGTACTTTCATGACATTGCAATTATTTTGTGTTAATACCATATTTTTGCAATTCTCCCATAAATAAATGATAAGATGTAATTTAAAGATTAAAAAAAAAAAGATGAAATTAACTTGTGTCTAGGGACTCAGAAAACCAAATCCGGAAAATACCCAAAATGCTGAATTTATGGTGTACAATAAAAGTTTTATGTGTGAGACCCTATCATTGATGATGAATCTAGACCTTTGATCTTAAATTCTGTTAGCTTCGGATTCTTTGTGCCTGCATTCATAGAACTGCCCTTTTCAGTTCTGTACCAAACAACCCCGTAATCATTATCAACCACCGATGGCTGTCTACCACGCCACACCACACCAGTCATATTGATCCACAGTTGACTTTGTAATTTCCAATATTTGTGAGAAATCAATTGCGAAGATATTGATGAGAGAGAAACCATGGGAGCTGATGTGCCGATTTCAATTTTATTAGAGAAATTAAACAAGTTGAAAGAGGTTGTCCAGGAAAGATTTATCTATCCAAGACTGAGAAATCATGTACATGATGCCATCAACGAACTACAACGCATTCGGAAGGAACTTGAAGAAGCAGGGGATACCAGTACCCTTCTTCGCTCTGTTTACTCTGCTGAATTGTTGATCGAAACTTTCCTCCTCAACACACCAATTCATTGCCGACGGGATGATCTCAAAAATCTTACCCAAAACCCGCCATTAATGGCATTTCTTCCAATTCCACCATGGACCCAATTACGGTTCAGCTCCAAATTGAAAAATTTCGTGAAGAGCTTAAAAGCTGTACATAGTGAATCGCGGCCTCGCAGAGACCATTCGGCAATCAATCACAAAACCCATGAATTTGAAGATGATGATGATGATGAACTTGTTGGATTTGGAGATGTGGCAGAGAAGAATCTGGTAGATCGACTGATCAACGACGACGAGAAAAGCCTCCGCGTGATTTCTCTGGTCAGCGAAAAGGCTGTGGGCAAGACAGCTCTGGCAAGGAAGGTTTATAACAGACTCGACGTTCGGCAGTCTTTCGAGTGCCGTGTTTGGCTCCATGTTCCCAAAAATATTAAATGCAAGGATCTGTTGATTGTCTTACTCAAACAGATTCCGATGGGGGTGTTGAAGGGGGTAGAGCTCATGAGCGAGGACGAGCTGTCTGCTCTGCTTTTCCAGACTTTAATGGAGCTCAGGTTTCTAATAGTCTTGGATGATGTCTCCTCGTTTGATGTCTGGCTCATGTTAGCATGTCCCTTTGCAGACGCCGCCAATGGTAGCAGAATCATCCTCACTACTCGCGACTCTAAGATAGCCTCGGATGTTGATCCGTGGAGTCGCCCACCGCTGGAACTCAAGCCCTTCACTGATGAGCTGAGTTGGGAATTGTTCTCGAACAAGTTTCGTGTAGGCAGACATGACACAGATACACACCACCAGTTAAACAGTAACAAGGTAAAAATTCTGAAAATATGCAGCGGTTTGCCTCCAGCAATTGTCCTGCTTGGACGATTGTTGTCAACTATACAACCTAATGAGTTGGTCTGTGTAATTGATAGTCTTTTAATCGACTTGGACAAACTTGATCAATCACCTCTCTCAAATATTATAGCTTTATGTTTTCGTGAGCTACGGTCTGAGTTGAAGCTATGTTTTCTTTACTTGGCTCTCTTTCCTAAAGAGTATGAGATCTCCGTGCGGAGGCTGTTGCAGTTGTGGATTGCAGAGGGTTTTGTGAAAATGTCAAGTACCCAACAACCTGAAGATATAGCCGGTAAATATTTGAAAGAACTCGTGCACAGAAACATGATTGAAATAGCAACAAGGAAGGAAGACGGAAGGCATAAAACATGCCGAATGCCAAGCTTTCTTCATGATTTCTTCTTTCAAAAATCTGAGGTTATAGGATTTATTCACGCCCACCATTGCAGAGCGAATTGTACACCTATAGATTCAACTGCTCAGCTTAATACAGATTCACCGGCTGATCAGCCTAATACAGATTCATCTGCTCAGAATAATATAGATTTACCTGCTCAGCCTAATAATGTTTGTTTATCAGATGTTTGTTTTAAAGCCCAAACGAGAGGTACATCCAACGAAAAAATCAATGAGTTGCTTAAAACAATTATCGATAGGAGGAGATCTAGAGGTTTTGTGTTGACGAAGGTGCTTGATCTAGAAGGTGCCCACAGACCTTTGCTACATGCGAAACTCGGCAAGTTTTTGAGCAACTTAAGGTACATAAGCTTGCGATGGACGGGTATAGACTCATGTCCGAAGTCTATTGGCGATCTACCGTGCCTGGAGACTTTAGATTTGAAGTATACTAACATAACCAATCTGTCGAGTTCCATTTGGAAGGCGAAGAACCTTCGACATCTGCTTATGAACGAGGTGTCCATTCTGAAGCCATCATCGTCAAAACAGTCTTCAACTTCAATGTCCAACATTCAGACCTTAACAGGCCTTCGTATCGGTTTTGAGGACCCCAAAGAATACGGCTTGAACAGATTCACCAGCCTTCGGAAATTGGGACTGACTTGCCATTCAAGATCATCAGTGGAGAAAACATGGGATTGCATCTCACAACTTAACAAACTTCAAACTTTCAAGCTGAGATCAAGAGATCATCAATTCGGTCAGCCTTCAGAGCTCGTGATTCCTGACAATCTGACAACCCATCCGTCTCTCTCAAACTTATATTTGTTCGGAGTGTTCAACTTCAAAGTTGGAAACCTTCCCAAAAACCTCAAAACCCTGACACTGTCAATGTCGAAAATCAAAGAAGATCCAATGCCGGAGCTAGGGGAGTGTCTGCCTCAGCTGAACATACTCAGGCTTTTTGCTGACTCTTTTGTAGGGGAGAAAATGAATTGTCTTGGTGGGGGATTTCCCAAACTTCGTGTGTTGAAATTGTGGATGTTAGAAACCCTCAAGGAGTGGATCGTTGAGGAAGGTGCTATGCCCGAACTTGAAGAATTAGAAATTAGAGGTTGTGAAAAACTGGAAAAGTCACAAGGATTGGAGCGGCTGAGTCACCTCAAGGAATTGACGTTAACAAACATGAAGTGGGAATTTGTAGAAGATGTTAAACGAAATCTGGCGTCCGTGGGCAGATCGCGCATACTACTCACCAACAAGTTCAAGTCTTCAACCACTCTTGCATGTAAGTCTTCTCATCATCTTCATCTTCTTTTTCTTTTTCTTTTTCTTTTTCTTTCTCTTTTTTTAATGGAAAATTTCTATCTATAATTATATTTCTTATCTTAGTTTCTCATGACGAAACACAAATGAGTGAATTTCACTTACATTTACTAATGAGAGCCTCTTTGTTTTTTGTCTTAGAGTCCCTTTGCAGACGCCGCCAATGGTAGCAGAGTCATCCTCACTACTCGCGACTCTAAGATAGCCTCGGATGTTGATCCGTGGAGTCGCCCACCGCTGGAACTCAAGCCCTTCACTGATGAGCTGAGTTGGGAATTGTTCTCGAACAAGTTTCGTGTAGGCAGACATGACACAGATACACACCACCAGTTAAACAGTTACAAGGTAAAAATTCTGAAAATATGCGGCGGTTTGCCTCCAGCAATTGTCCTGCTTGGACGATTGTTGTCAACTATACAATCTAATGAGTTGGTCTGTGTAATTGATAGTCTTTTAATCGACTTGGACAAACTTGATCAATCACCTCTCTCAAATATTATAGCTTTATGTTTTCGTGAGCTACGGTCTAAGTTGAAGCTATGTTTTCTTTACTTGGCTCTCTTTCCTAAAGAGTATGAGATCTCCGTGCGGAGGCTGTTGCAGTTGTGGATTGCAGAGGGTTTTGTGAAAATGTCAAGTACCCAACAACCTGAAGATATAGCCGGTAAATATTTGAAAGAACTCGTGCACAGAAACATGATTGAAATAGCAACAAGGAAGGAAGATGGAAGGCATAAAACATGTCGACTGCCAAGCTTTCTTCATGATTTCTTCTTTCAAAAATCTGAGGATATAGGATTTATTCACTCCCACCATTGCAGAGCGAATTGTACGCCGATAGATTCACCTGCTCAGCTTAGAACAGATTCACTGGCTGATCAGCCTAATACAGATTCATCTGCTCAGAATAATATAGATTTACCTGCTCAGCCTAATAATGTTTGTTTATCAGATGTTTGTTTTAAAGCCCAAAAGAGAGGTACATCCAACGAAAAAATCAATGAGTTGCTTAAAACAATTATCGATAGGAGGAGATCTAGAGGTTTTGTGTTGACGAAGGTGCTTGATCTAGAAGGTGCCCACAGACCTTTGCTACATGCGAAACTCGGCAAGTTTTTGAGCAACTTAAGGTACATAAGCTTGCGATGGACGGGTATAGACTCATGTCCGAAGTCTATTGGCGATCTACCGTGCCTGGAGACTTTAGATTTGAAGTATACTAACATAACCAATCTGTCGAGTTCCATTTGGAAGGCGAAGAACCTTCGACATCTGCTTATGAACGAGGTGTCCATTCTGAAGCCGTCATCATCAAAACAGTCTTCAACTTCAATGTCCAACATTCAGACCTTAACAGGCCTTCGTATCGGTTTTGAGGACCCCAAAGAATACGGCTTGAACAGGTTCACCAGCCTTCAGAAATTGGGACTGACTTGCCATTCAAGATCATCCGTGGAGAAAACATGGGATTGCATCTCACAACTTAACAAACTTCAAACTTTCAAGCTCAGATCAAGGGATCATCAATTCGGTCAGCCTTCAGAGCTCGTGATTCCTGACAATCTGACAACCCATCCGTCTCTCTCAAACTTATATTTGTTCGGAGTGTTCAACTTCAAAGTTGGAAACCTTCCCAAAAACCTCAAAACCCTGACACTGTCAATGTCGAAAATCAAAGAAGATCCAATGCCGGAGCTAGGGGAGTGTCTGCCTCAGCTGAACATACTCAGGCTTTTTGCTGACTCTTTTGTAGGGGAGAAAATGAATTGTCTTGCTGGGGGATTTCCCAAACTTCGTGTGTTGAAATTGTGGATGTTAGAAACCCTCAAGGAGTGGATCGTTGAGGAAGGTGCTATGCCCGAACTTGAAGAATTAGAAATTAGAGGTTGT